AAAAAAAAAAAAAAAAAAAAAAAAAAAAAAAAAAAAAAAAAAAAAAAAAAAAAAAAAAAAAAAAAAAACAATTATCTTACACATCGGACGAGAGTAAAAATTGACGCAACGCACGCGACGCACCGCACGAAAAATCAATGGATTCAGCCACGCGTGGAAAACACAGAGACGACGACGAGGCAGCTTAGAACTTGAGACCCTTCTGGACCTCGTCCATGGTATTGGCGGACTTGCCGAGCAACTCGAGCTCCTTGTCCGTCAACTTTTGCTTGATGACGTGGGCGATGCCGTTCTCCCCGAGCGTGCACGGCAGCGAAAGAAAGACCTCCCGCTCGATACCATGTTGGCCCTGCAAACACATATCAATAAGCGTCAATAAGAGCTTCGTAAACTCGTAAACACCGTATTTTTTATATATATTTAACGCACCGCAACGAGGGTCGACACAGCGTGGACTTGCATGGAGTTGCGCAGTATGGAGGAGGCCAGCTGCGAGACGCTGAGCCCGATGGCCCACGAGGTGTAACCCTTGAGCCGAATGACCTCGTACGCGCTCTGGACCACCTGCTTGTGCAACTCGTTCCAGCCCTCCTGGTCCGCCTCGGTGCCCACGTTCTCGTCCAACTCGCACAATCGCACCCCGCCCACGTTTACCCCGCTCCAGACCGGCACTACAAGTATACAAAGGGGCACGATGATACATTATCTATGGAAAATAGGGTATGAATGGGCACGTACCACTGGTGTCCCCGTGCTCGCCGATGATCCAGCCGTGGCAGGAGGTGGGGGCGACGTTGAGCCTCTGGGACAGTAGGAAGCGGAACCTGGCCGAGTCGAGGTTGGTGCCGCTGCCGATGACGCGATTCCTGGGCAGCCCGGACAGCTTCCAGGCGACGTAGGTCAGTATGTCCACGGGATTCGAGACGACGAGGAGTATCGTGTTGGGGCTGTACTTGACCAGTTGGGGCACGATGCCCTTGAATATGTCGGTGTTGCGCTGCACGAGGTCCAGACGGGACTCGCCCTCGCGTTGCCGAGCGCCTGCAGTCACGATGCAAATGCTCGAGTTCGCCGAGGCCGCGTAGTCGGTGCTCGCGTTTATCCGCGCGTTCTTCAGGAAGGCGCTGCCGTGCTGCAGGTCCAGCATCTCACCTTTCAGCTTGTCGGCCATCACGTCGACCAACACCACGTCGCTCGAGACGTTCTGTAAACACGTATCTTTGACATTATCGTTGTTGATGTTGTTTCCATCGCTTTTTTTTTTTTTTTTTTTATCTCAAAACGTGCAGATATTATCGCGTGTGCTCATCGTTTCAAGTACATGATATCTCACCTGTCTGTGCTGATTATCGAGTAATCAGTTTTGATTGATTGGAGATTGGGAGGAGAAAGGAAAGGGGGAGAGAAGGGGTTGATGGCCCTCTTGTCGATTGTTGAATATTTGTGCATCGACTCGTGATGAGCATTATCATATGGTTTCGATTACATCATTTTAAAGTTTTGATTAACATTATACAAATGACATTTAAATACCGATCCGACAAGTTGAGCTTGCAAGTTTCAACGATGTTAGACACGCATGAGTATCTTTTTATCACGTACGGATAGATATTTTTATTTTTTCTTCGAGTAATTATCATTTTTATCGTGAAAGCCACGAGTTTGATACTATTAGTTTTTGCATTTGATAACACGTTTAGAGTGCAGAAACAAAAGATCATGGAAATTGAAAATTTAATCGTATGAACAACTTACGTTTGTCAAGATGCTAAAGGCACACGCCATTCCGACCTGGCCGACGCCGACGATCGTGATTTTATTGCGACCCGTTGCTACTGGCTCGGCGATTGCCTTAAGCAGTCCATCCTTCACCGAAGCCATGTTACACTTTGCCTTTCTGAAATTCAAAAAATTAATAAACAATGACAATAGCAACAATTGTATTAAAAAATTAACCAGAACGAGATGATTCACGGGTGATTTGTTGTTATGCATTCAATTGTCAAATGTAGTCATTCAAATGCAATCAATTTCAATGACGAAAAACAAGCTCGAGTAACATCCGAAAATAAGAGCAGCCCGCATTTTGTCCCGTATATACAACACTCGCAAGGTCAAAAAGGTCAAGCGCCCCAAAGCTCGATCCAATATCCCATACGTGTCGCGGCGTTACTTTTCTCAATAAAAAAAAAATACAAAAAAGCACAAAAAGAACCCCGTATTCCGAACTCACTCGGTTTTTTCTGGCACATGTATTGTCACGAATACGAATGGAGAGGAAAAAAAAAAAAAAAAAAAAAAAAAAAAAAAAAAAAAAAAAAAAGAGTAGAGTTGGAAAAACTCACCGGAATTTATATTCTTAGCCGATGCGTCTCGCGTTACCGGGGGTTCGCGCCGCTCTGACACCGTAGCAATATACGAATAAGCCGCCAATGGTGGGCTGTACTGGAGCCAGGGTGTGCGCGGGGAGGTATTGATTTTTCACGGAGGATGTCGCCACGTGGCGCTGATCCCGCTCAAAGGTGCGCGTTTGCTGATAAAAAAGGGTTTTCACTCGGCGATGCACTTATTAATTACTTGGGGATTAGCTTTCCATGACTTTTCATTTCCTTGACATTTAAGGGTTGCGTAAGCGATTTTCGTTGTCACTTTCGGTAAGATTATGCAACACTTTTTTCTTTTTTTCCCCCCAAATGTTTCTGACGTTTAAAACTACTAATGATTGAAGGAAAAGTTTATTTGCTCTTTCTTCAAAAATGATCACTTTCGCGTTACCAGATTTTTCATGTGTAAAATGATGAAAAAATTTCCCATTATTGCTTTCTAGCGCTTGATGACGACTCAGTGATGAGTAATGAATTAACAGTGGCTGAGTCACATCGATCGCGTTCAATGATATCTCGAGCTGAAAATATTGGCCAACAAAGTAGATTTCTTCCCATCGACGCGAAAGTGTCACATTTTTGTTTTCTCGTCCGTAATTTAAATTCGGCAAACGAGCAACACGTTAAAACTAATTTGTTTGAAAGATGACTTTCAAGTACCGGCCGGTTATAAATCACGAAAAATAGTTTGAGTGATGTTTCGTTGTTTATTGATATTACACATTTTATTCACCCTTCATTGCATCATCAAGTGCTTATTGGTAAAAAAGATTTGGAGAAACCAAATCAAAGGAGTATTGCAATAATCAAATCCGAATTGAGCTGCCAAGTCATATCACGCGAAAAATGATACATCGGTACAGTGAAACCCACGCGTGCCACGAATACATCATTTTACCGTATAGAGAAGCAATAATAAGTAGACACTTATAACCTTGTAATATTGCACAATATCGCCCAATAGGTATTGTAAAATTAAAAAAAAATACATATATATAAAACACAGTAGCACTAGAAAAAATAGTGACTATTTACGGACACTGATATAATGTTATACTCACTGATCGTATGCCTGGATGAATGAAAGAGACGAAGAGCGTATAGGTAGGAGCGTATATTGGATGCACGAATAGCACTGCACTTTGTGTGCTCTGGTCCGACCTTGCCACCACTTATATACCCACCGCCAGGCGCGTGTGCCATGTGCGCGGTGTGCTATATGGTGCGGGAAAGTATATAGGGTTGGGGTGAAAAAGTGAAAACACCTACGTGTAGGTGAGCACGTAAGCTTTTACTCTGGAACTGGCCACTCGTCACATATTTTCAATAATATACTTGTGATTTGCAAAGGATACATGATTCTTAATTTTACACGTATATGATACCAGGAATCCAATACATGTGATTTCTCAACTTAACAATTTGACGGAATATTTGATTCTCAATTAAAAATTGATTAAACGTCTTTTGAAATGGGAATCAATGAAAGTGTTAACTTTAATTCTTCGGACGAATTGTTATTAAATTGAAATTAAAAGTAATTGATACAAACATTTTTTGATGCAACGAAATTACGTAAATGAAATTTCATCATGTTATTAATTTTCTGTTTTTGAGTAAACTACAATAAATTAATCTGCAAAATGTTTCACAATTTTTCTTCATGTAAGATTTGTGGAAAATACAATGTTTTCCCAAGTCGTTGAGTAGCTATAAATTGAAGTATGCAGTAGGTGAGGACTTTGTCATATTGCCGTGAAACTCGTCATGTCTCCTTCCGCGAGCAGTAGCCACCTATATACTTACGTACAAAATAAGGAGAGATGATGAAACTCCGGCTCACGCGTCCCTTTTGACGGGTGTATGTTTTGTCCGAAAATAAGCGGGCCGGGCTTTCGGAAAACCGTACGCGTTACGGTGCAAAGTCTCTTCTTCGTGCGTATGATTGTAACTATATTCTCGATATTTCTGTCTTTGATGATTGGTCTTGCCTGACGCATCGGGAATCGTTTGAAAATTGCATTTGAAGTTTTGTTTTTAAGGTATGCCAAAGTTCCATTGGAATTGAAACAAACTCGACAATCCCTTCGATTATCGATGCAAATTTTTACGATTCGTCATTATTCATGTTACTTTTTTTTTTTTTTTTTTTTCATCGTATGGCATTTTGTCATTTTACACAAAGTACTTAGCCATTGATTCAAATGACGATGAAAATCGGAAAAAAATCCATTGTGTTTGTAAAATGAAATGTAAGTAAAAAAGAAGACTACAAGGATTAAAATTCTGGAATCTATAGGTGATTTCCTTCGTCAAAGTCCATAAAAGTATCATAATTTAACCGTCTTGGAAAAAAAAAACATCGTTCAACAAAACTCATGACGATTAAATGAAAAAGAAAAAAAAAGTGGATCTGCATATTTGTACTTTTATTTGAGGACTTTAGTAGTTAGTAAAAAATTAAATCAAAATATGCTTACCATTCGAGTGCAGACCATCGGTAATCCAGGCCTCTGTATAGCTGGAGTGTCGGAGATATCCATCGGCCACCCGGTAAACACACGCGCGGTCGGACTTTTCGTTCGCGCGGCCAAAGACGAGCGGAGCCACGGGGACTATGTACTTCCTACCACTGTATATAGTATATAACACCCACACGCAAGGACGAACAATATATATATATATATATATACACGGTGTCGATGATCGAAGCCGAAGCAATCGGAAGAGAGAAACCGCCGGACAATCACCGGGGCCTTGGGTACATATATACAGTTTTGCGCCTCTGCACCCCTTTCCGTATAATATATATAAGTATATACCTACGCTTACACACCTATACGGAGGCCCGCGCGTGTATAGCGTCTCGGGACAATTAACCGGCTCCGAGGGAGAGGCGATCCCTCGCTATTAATTACAATCAGCGCCTATCGGCCCTTTCTCCCTCCCTGTCCCGATGGCGACGTTTAATCTGGCATCGCGCGCCGCCTCTCTGCGCGCCCTCCCCCCTTTCCTTCTTCTTTGGAGCCTTTTTCTTCCTTTCTTTCTTTTTAATTTTTTTTTTTTTTCCACCCGTTTCTTTATTTACGCAAAGGTGGCGTGCCATGTGTGGCTATATATACCTATACACAACAACGCGGGGCTTGTTTCAACAGAGGGGAGGAATTTCGCGTGCGCCGGTGCCATTCTTTCCCTCCACGATGCCGAGAAAGGCGTGATTTTTATTTATTTATTTATTTATTTATTATTGCTTTTTTTTCTTCTTCCTCGCCGTGTAATTGATCGACTGCGATAATTTTGCGAATTTCGGCCCGAAAATTGCCCTGGGAAAACAACTGGCGCTTCGCTGAATAACATTACCGTCGGCCGTCATCCTACATATATTATTACCGTCATAATTATCATTATTGTTGTTGCTGTTTCATTTGAATAATTATAATTGTACAGCCTTCGAGCAGAAAGGATTACTCGCACCGCATTGATGTTACACGTTATAAGCGTGTGTTCGCAAATATGATAATATTCACACCTATATACACGCGTATGTTTATATTATGTATATATCATTATACATTTGCATTACAGGTGTGATTTTCGAAAAAACGCCAAAAGGTATGTGTATACGTATTGTACGTGTATTTTTCAGGTCGCCGGTGAAAAAGGATTTAAATTTCAAATGGCTCGGGGCGAATTTAAAATGTAAATTCTACAGATGCTTAATAAAATCAACGGGCCGAATTTGCATGCTTAAGATTATACTCGGAAACGTCTCAATCGCGCGTCGTGTTGGTATATAATATATCTCCTCCTAAATTGGATTGAGCCAAGTTGAATAAAACTCACGAGAAAGGGATGCACTGCAGCCTACATATACGTGTATACATGTATACATTATCGAGAGGGAGCAGCGGAAAAATTAAATTTAGTCCAAACAAAAGAAGGCAAAAAGGGAGAGGGAGGCAAAACAAAAAAAAAAATACTTAAAGCATCGAGCGAGTGTGTATATTTCTATATAAATGTGGCAGGAGTGAAAAAAAAAAAAAAAAAAGAACGGAAAAGAAAAAAAAAGAGGCACGTCCTTCTGTCCGGGATTAATATTGATGAACTTTGCATGGAGGATAAAAATTAAGAGCGGATGGAGCTGTAATCGTTCCTAGGCTGCCGTGTGTCCTTTTTTGCAATCTCGTTTGTCAAGGCTCGCGCGAAAAGTGAGGAAAAAAAGCGAGCCGAGACAACACAAACGAATCAGTTGGGAGGGCAGCAACAAAAATCCAAAGCCACACTGCAGGAGCAAGTATACACATACAAAGAGAAGGAGGAGGAGGAGGAGGGAGGAAAAAAGAAAAGGGGAGCGGCACTACGGGAGGGACGGCAAGATAGACCGGCTTGCATACACGAAAGACACACACACACACAAGCCGTGGGTAGAATCGTTAGCGAAAATAATGAATCGGCCGTGCGCGGCTGCCTCCGCTGCCGAATCACGCGGCGTGCTCCTGCTGACTCGCAAAATACACCCGAGATCATCAGAGCCAAGGCGAGCGAGCGCGCACAAACGTACCTATACATATACGGAACGAAGCCGTCTGGAAATTTTTCAGCGCCCCCGAACCCGCTGATGATGATGATGTCCCCCTGGAATTTTCGGATTGTGAATAAACCCCCCCTGGGCCGCTGCGCAGGCAGACTTATTTGCCCACCTTTGTGCGATGTGTGTGCCCCCGCGTGAGCATATTTCCGTGCCCCCCCCCCCTCCTCTCACTACATGCGTTTGTTATTAATGCTCGTACACACTTTTTTTTTTTGACGATTTACATATACGCACATGTAGGTAGACGCGCGATTCACAGTCTACCGCGTACACACGGAGCTTTCGGTTATTATCATCATCACCATCGATATACATATATAATGCACAATAACAACCGCGAGCGCGAAAAATAATAACGCGACGGGAATATCGAAAACGATGGGAAGTATAATATTTGACGCGCATATATGTGTATAGAGTCGAGTATTGAAATTTTATTTATATACGATTGAAATGTATCAGTTTATTGTTTCAACAGCATCGAGGGAGAAAAAGACGAAAACAAAAAAAAATACATGTTCACACAAGGTTTCAATAACCGAGAAAGTCCACATTGCATCCGTGTACGTATGTGTATGATAACTCTTTTTAACGCACAGCCCGGGGGCGCTACAATAATTAATTCCCGAAAAAAAAAAAAAAAGCTCCCCGGCAACCTTACGGGGAGCGAGGAGCGCTAATTAGGACTAAATTTTTGATCGCGAATCTCCCCGTGCAGCCTCGCGCGTATGTGCACACGTACCGATACGTACATGTAAAATTGAGACGGTCGTTGGTGGGTTGGAGTGTATGGAAAGGGACGGGAATTAAAAGGAGATGAAAAGAGAACCAAAGAGGGAGAGAGAGAAAGACCGGTAGGCAGATTGGAAGGCAGGTATACATATATGTACGGGGAGGTGGTTCTTTGGCCCCTTATCGCGGATCCTCGCAAACGACTAGTTGGTTCGGTTTTAATTGAAAGCTAGTTTCGGAGCTAAAAATAGCCCCCGACGAAGTGGGAAAAATCACCCCGCGAGCCCCTTTTTTCCTTCCACTCGCATAAAATACGTACGTATAGATATAAATATACACATACGCGTGTACAGACAAGTGCTCGTGTTACTATTGTTATACGCTTCAGTCACTTATCGATGTACACTCATCTCTCTTATATTTTGTATATGTAACGCACAAATGAAAATCGCCCCCCCCCCCTCCTCCCCTCGTATAGCTCGGTGCAAGGAGAAGGTGAGCCGTCGAGGCTTTTGTTATCGCTGGCTGGAAAAATGATAGCCGCTCTCGATATTCTACACACACATATATATATACACTTACGCAGCTGCATAAAGGAATCGGTGCTGCGTGCGTCTGCTTGTCCGGGCGTCCGCGTTTAATCTGTATACGATAGGCGAGGCGCTACATATATATTGTTTGCTCATTGTTTGCTCTCGTCATTTATACCGACGATGACTACGAGGAATTTTTCTCCCGAGCGCCGCCGCGGACTCGCCTCTATAAAACATCATTGTATAACACGTATATATACGTTAAAAAATGATGAATGCGCGGCTCGCAATTTCATCCACCCCCTCGCCCTCTACACGTATATTTATACGTGTCGCTGATAGATATACCTTGTATAGCGAAAGAATTGCCGTCGGTGTTACGTATACTTACATTATATATACATCACGTATAGACCGGAGCAGGAAGAGGAGTGCCCCATGCGCGCGGACGCTGAAGACCTGTCGAGGAAAAAAAAAAAAAAAAAAAAAAAAAGGTGGAGGGAACAGAAAATAATATACAGGTGCAACTCTTTGCTCCGAGGGTAATCGCGTAAGTGTACGCGAAAAATGCATTAATCAGGATTCCCCTGCACATTAGCGGGGCTGATGGTTGTTGTGCCGCTGACTTTTTTTTGTTTTTCCCTTTTTGCCTGCTTCACGAAGTAAGACGCATTCATACGTATGTAGTTACGTGATGCTTCGATTCCAAGGGGGTAAGAGATACATAACGGGCCGTACAAAATACAGGAGCGCTTTGATTCCTCGGCGGGGAGCATCAGGAAGATTAAGAAGTATATATAATACACACGGGTACCTTGTATCGCGGTCGGTCGATCGGCTCGCGAGAGAGGAGCCGAGTGCATGTATCATCTCTTCTTCCCCGGTAATCCGCCTTTTTCGCGCGACTCCTGTAATCCTGACAAATCACCGTCGCTCGTGTACTGCAGCTTCATATATATACTCGCGTGTGCATCAGCAGCTGTGCGGGGCATACATCGACGTTTTCATTTAAACACCGGGGCCAGGATATGAGTGCTCGATTTTCGCGGATGCACTTTGCCGTCCTTTTTTTCGCAGGACTCTTTCAAAGCGATGACCCCCACCTGGACCGGCTTTTATGAATAAAACATCGCGGTGAGCTGCGAGAAAATTGAATTTTTCATTTTCGTGCATTCACCGCCATCACCCTCCGCGAATGACTTTTACCGAGAGCCGGTGTCCTCTGTATACGCAGCTCTAAGCTGTGCGTACATCATTTTGTGTCCGAGCAAATGGCTTTTTTTTTCTTTTTTTTTTTTTTTTCCCTCATGCGTGTATACCGCAGTGCGGAAAATATTTTCCATCCACTCGCGAGAGGAATTATTCGATGATGCTCACGCGTGCGATAATCTCAGGTCGAAAGCCGGTTGCTCTCAACGGGACACGCGTTTCTGGCTTAATGTTTAATAATAAAAAGGCTCTCGTGCATGTTTTTTTTTTTTTTTGTACTGCAAATTTTATTCATCCTCACCCTGGACTGACAATTTGGTTTTTTTTTTTTTTTTTTTTCATCCTCACACAAAACAAACAAACTCCCGATACACAAAAATGTCAACGTCTACCTCTGTACACATATATTTTTTTTTTTTTTTTTGTCACAAATAAAAAGATGGTACGCGTGGTAGGCTGACTTAAAAACAAAAACAAAAAAAATATTGTCCCCGAGGCTTTCCGCGCACTTCTTCCCGGTGCGACGTGATTGAAACATTTTTATTGATCTTTCGGCTTATAATAAGCAGCTTTCGAGGCCGAGGGAGGAGATATACGTGTACCGAACGGGGAAAGAAAGAAGAAGAAAAAAAAAAAGTATCGAGCCGTGTATCACGGGTGCAAAGGGAAGTGGGTGTATATATATACATGTACGTACATATTACAGAGAGAGCAGAGTAGTAGGTGTCGGAGTTATTATTCCGGCAGGGGTGGAGGTGTCGGCAGAACAAATGCGTGTGTATATGCATGTATACACCTATGTGTGTAGGCACAAGGGAGGGTTGTAGGTAAGTGTTTCGTCTGATTTTGCCAACGGCACAGCAGGCGCCCCCGGCTGCTGTATCGCCATTGCCCTTATGTCGCTACACCCGGGAGAAGAGAATAAAGGAAGGCCACGCTGGCACGCGCCAACCCACCCACCCTCGTACCATATAATATACTACGCGCAATATAAGTATATATATATATATACGTGTGTGTGTATGTGTATGTATGTATGTATACGTGTGTAGAGGGGGATGAGGAAAAAGTGCTCGGATGACTACTGCTCGAGCTGGTCGAAGATGAACTTTTGGGCTTCGTAGATGGTGCGGGAGGAGCGGGTCGTCAGCTCTTGCTCTTCCGGTGTGTACAGATGTCGCATGTAGGACAGCACCCCGGCACGCCCGACCACGCACGGAAGCGACATGAACACATCCTTCTCCAGACCGTGTCGACAGCCCTGTACGTACAACCCGACGACGGGGACACAGAGAGAGAGAGAGAGTTAACGGAGAGTCAAAAATTTGAAAACTAATATAACACGTAGTATATAATAATAATAATAATAATAATAATACACGAGCCGACAGTCGCTCTATTCTTTACACATATTTTTCCTCCCCCCATTTTTTTTTCTTTTTTTTTGTCCTCTCCCTCTCTTGTCTGCTCTGGTCTTCGTTATGGCATAGTCTCTGGTTTTTTTCACATCGCACATGCTTAAACTCCTCTTCCTTCCTCTTAACAAGTGCACCGTCCCCACCCCATCCCGGCCTTAATGGTTCATCGCATTAGTCGAGCCGATAAGTGCTGCTCCTCTCGCGAGCACCTAATGGCCCTTTATTTTAGGTTTTCACTTTCCGAGTTTCACACGTACTTTGGCTATATTTACATGCCCTACAGCAATGGCATTTTCGAGTATGCCCGTAAATATGTATATGTTTATCGTATACGAGTTTGGATGTACATTTTTAAAAATGCCACGTATATGCTTTTTTTTTTTTTTTTTTTTTTTTTTTGCCACAAGTGACGAAAACACATGCCAACGATTAATCTTACTCTTTTCTCGCGTTATTACATCGAATAGGTATATAATGTGTAATGCTACCATACAGTGAAATAACGACATCAAGACAATGGCTCGGGGATAAGTTAGATTAGAGTAATCTTCTTATCGTAAGTATAATTTACGAGCCACGCGTCGCACACGTATTTTTTTCCTTCCCGAATCTCGTATGGGTGTGTGTTATATGTACGAAATGACGCGTATAATAAAATTGAACGACGTGGGTGCGAGGAAGAACTCTACACATGTATAAATTCGCGTCGAAAAAAAAAAAAAAAAAAAAAAAAAAAATAGTAATGGTAGCATTAATTTTGCCCTCAAAGACGAAGGAGAAAAAAAAATAAAACCAAACGGAAGGACGGCATTTGTTTTCTTACTTGCACACAATGGCAACGGCAGCAGAGAGCAAGACAAGGAGGGAGGGAGGGACACGATACCACCCGGCACGCGTACAAGGTGACGAATAAATAATGAACCTTAACGAAAGTCGAGACGGTCATGCAGGCGCACGTGTTGCGTAAAATAGCGTCGATGATTTCGCAGGTGCAGATGGCCGCGGCCCAACAGTGATGGCCCTTGCGCATGATCATGTCCTTGCTACAATTGACGACCTTCGTATGCAAAGTGTCCCAACGCTCGGGATCGTTTTTCCCGCCAATGTCCTTATCGATGTCCTTGAGCCTCATATTCATCACCGACATCGACGACCATATTGGGACTGCAACGACACCCCCGCCGTTTGCATTATTCAACTCTCCCATTCCCTCCGCTGTATACTTACTCGGCCTTTCGCGACTCTCCTTTCCCCCCCCCCCCCCTTCCTTTTGTTTGGAAGCGGAGCCTCGATCCGATAACCCTTCCCCCCTTACTTCAAAGTACAACGTAATTGTCTCACTTTTAAAGTAAATTAATGCATACGTGCACGACGAGTGAATTTAAATAGATGAAAAAAAGTGCATCTTTCACGAGGGGGAAAAAAAAAAAAGGTCAAACACACCAAATACTTTGGTAGAGTCGAGGAAAGGCACGAGTATAATGTAGGTAAAACTTGTGAATACGTGGGCTAAACACTTGATGGGATGCAAGAAAAAAGAAAGAAGCGAGCAATCCTCCGGATGGTAATTCGAGGAGACTAATGGATACGGGAGAGTATGCGTGAGGTATCGGTGTTACCGGAAGTCGGGCCGCTCTCGCCGATGACCAGCGACTGGACGGACGCGGCCGAGAGGCCCAACTCTTTGGAGACCATGTGCTGGAGCCGACAGTTGTCCAGCAACGTGCCCAAACCGATGACGCGATTAGGCGGGAAACCCGACAGCTTCATGGCGACGTACGACAATATGTCCACTGGCCCCAGACACACGGGAAACAGAGGACACAACACAATATAATGCATAATATAGAAGACGATGGCTGCATTATAATATCGTAATGTGCGTGTGTGTATGCCACGAGGGAGTGACGCGACGGACCACCGTCTAATCTGCTCCTCTCGAGAGATATTATCGTCGCGCGTGTGGTTACTTTAGGCCCCGTCCGTCTTGCTCTCCCGTCACATATAATGGTCAGATGGCTCCAATCACATTAAGATTGATGACGGGGGTATTGGTATATATGTATACATATAGGTGGAGTTTAGCGACGACGAACCTGGACTGCTCGTGACGATGAGCACGCTGTTGGGCGCGTACTTTGTCACGCACGGCACGACGCACTTGAAGTGCAGCACGTTCTTCTCGAGGTCCGCGTACTGGTCGGGCACTTGCCGGCCCACCGTTATGACGCACACCGCCGCGTCCCTGGCCCCCGCGAAATCTGCGAAAATCACACCGCACCAAAAGCTTTCTTTCTTTCTTTCTTTGTGTTATTTTGCAGCGGCGCCTGAAAATTATTCGAGGTCGCCCCGCGTCCCAATTAAAATATCAATGGGGAGCCTACGAGGAGAGTGGCAGGGAGGGGGGGGGGGGGTTGATCGCGCTTTTTTTTTGCATTTTTCATTTTCCCGAGGCTAAATTATGGGGGAGCGCGTGCGTGGCCCATTCTTCTCCCGGCAAATGACGGATAATCCAATAACTCACGCGTCACCGGCAAAAGGCCGCTCGGCGCTGTTGCTCCTGATTGTGTATTCGTTAAAGAAAAAAAAAAAAATAAGCAAGCGTTAATATGCAAATGTCCCCGTGTACAACGATTTTTCGGGATATGCGGCGCGGATGAGCGAGCGGGGGCCCATGTATACCAAAAGTATATGTATACATCGTGTTACCATATATACGTACCTTTGGTCCCGCGGATTTTTGGGCTGCCCAGGAACACGGCCGCGTGCGCCATGTCCTCGGCATGGGCCTTCGCCACTTCCTCGTCCTCGTCGATGAACACCACCTCGGCTGCCAGTCTCTGCAACGATACCACGTATTTTTACATTATTTACGCTACAATATACCCTTCTTGTTTCCCCATCTCATTAACCCCTTTTTTTTGTTCGTTATTTGTAAAATGTATGATACGTGGGTGTACAAATAATAGCTTAGCGCCAAGGAGCTGGAGGTGGATTTCCCGGGCGTATCGTATGAGCCACAATTTAATGAACAAAGGGAAATTTGATCTGGTAAATGACCGGCTCAGTCGACCTGACAGCTGCATCATCATTATAATCATCCCCTGCATCATCTACACAGACGCGAATAATCGCGTTCTCACGTAACTCGCACGTGCAGGGCGCGTGTGCACAAAACGCGGAGAGAGAAAAAAAAAAAAAAAAGGGAAACTAAGCCTAACAATATAATGGGCGCTTTCTAAGTGTATACAACCTGCAGCGTCGCGGCCGGTGCGACGTCTTTGTCGGCAGCTTTGGGCGACGACGGTGTGTGTAACCATATACCCACTCTCTCTCTCTTTGGGCAAAGCAACGGGCTCGCGCTGAATGTTCTCCTCTCGCGTATAACTCATCCCTGAATAATTACACGTCCGGAGTCTGCGAGAGAGCCCAGCTAAGAGGGCCCTCACTTTTTTTCGAGATGTGTTTTTCGGAGAGCCGCCAGTCCGGCCGGTCTCCTCTTCTCTCGTGCTCTCGCATTCCAGCTCCCTTTCTTTTATCTTTCTCTCCCCCACCCCGCGAACGCGACACGCGCAGTAATGCGAGTACACACCCATACGCGTGGCAGTTACGCGACGCGCCCTACTATATTTTTATATACTAAGTATATTTTTGAAAAAGTGTATATGGAAGGCTCGTGCGTTATCCAGCGAAATGCAAGAAAAATTGTCCGTATCCGTTTTTAGTGAAAAAAAAAAAAAAAAAAAAAAAAAAAAAAAAAAAAAATGGGGGTATCCGAGGTGTGATGGGGGAGGGTGAGAGACTACACATGTATAAATTCGCGTCGAAAAAAAAAAAAAAAAAAAAAAAAAAAAAAAAAAAAAAAATGGGGGTATCCGAGGTGTGATGGGGGAGGGTGAGAGAAAAGGGTGCACGAGCCAAAATTAACCTTAAAGAGAACACTGATGCCGACGGCCACGCCAACGGGACCACAGCCGACGATGGCGATTTTGGTGCGCTCTCCTCCGTCGCTCGAGCAAGAATCGACCGGCTTGGACAGCAAAAACTTGGCCGTACTGCCGCCGACCTTTTCCAGGGCTGTTGCATTTTCTTGCGACTCATCCATCATTCATTGGACGGAGAACGGGGTCTAGACTCGACACTCGTAGTACTATTTTTTTTTTTTTTTTTTTTGTCCCCTCCTCGTCTATCCGAAACAGCCGCGCGTTTCCGGGTGATTATTACCGATTTCTCGGAGAGGCTGCACCGTTTTTTTTTTTTTTTTTCAGCTTTAAATATAACCCGTTGAAAAAAGTGAGCGCGGTACACACGCGGAGAAATTCCACACCCGTGGCAGAAGGGAGACTGAAAAAAAAAAAAACACCAACGCAACGTATACACACAACGGCGCGCTCATCTGTTTTAATCGCGGAGAGGTTACATTAAGCACCTCTCGCCGAGTGTGTAATTTTTGTGCATTTTTCTCTTAATTAAAACGAGCGTGGGCAGGTAGGCCACGCATTGTCGCTGCCTCCGCGCGCATTTAATTTAATAATGTCCTCACGAAGGTACATCAGTCACACCCGTGCGTGCGAGGCGCACCGATTTCACGTCAGATTCGTTTGATCATTTGTCGCTCCTTGGGCGCCAATGGGAGTGCGAGAGAGTCAGACAGGCGTGATGCTCGCCGAGTATCAGATAAGCTTTGATTCTGAAAACGCGGTTTGTAAAAATGGCATCGAAATTCATTAAAACGAGCGCGAGAGAAAAAGGAGCAATCGAGAGAGATAGAGAGGAAGGAGCAAGCAGTCTTTAGGTCGTAAACACTCGGTCCTACAATTAATTATCAACTTGTCACTCGGCTATCGCCTCCAATCAGTCTCCCGTTTCAGAGAAAAACAGCAAGAGCAACCCAAGGTATGGGTGTACATGCAATGTACGTGCGTGCAAGGAGCAGGTCCCCCAAGAGGAAGAGAGAGAGAGAGAGAGGGTGGTAGAGAGAATTCTCTCAAACGAACGAGCCGGGCCCCTCGGCGTGTAGAGATCGGTAGCAGTGATGCCGATCATCAGTCAAACTTGTACACGCTCGAAAACACACACACGAGCCGAGAGACTCTTCGATGTTGTTGGCTCTCGCTCGCGTCCATATACTAATTATAAACAGCAAGACAGAGAGAGAGAGAGAGAGAGAGAGGAAAAGACAGGCGCGTGTGCGTTCATTAAGATCGCCGATCGGTCATATCGGTATAGGTATGTATACATGTATACACGCACAGTGCATGCCTGTACGGAATGAAAGTGCGCACGGGGTTGGTATCGGGTCCGTAGCATCTCTCGATTTTTCGGCGCGATTTTTCAACCCGTACAACGGTGTAAGGTCGAGGAGGGAGGCCTCGCTCGCTCTCGTGGGCAGTCCTGCCGCCCGAGGCGAGGGGGACCCCCATGCACCTCACCTCGGATTTTTTCTTTTTTTTTTTTTTTTTTCTTTCTTTTCTTTCTGTCTACCTCTTGGCGTGCGAGTGTACATAATATACTTGCAATTGTGCGTGTATATAGCAACGGCGCAGTGCCGCACGAGAGAAGAATAAAGAGGCTGGTGCAGTGAGGAAGGAAGGGGGCGAGGCTGGGGCGCAATTGTTTATGCCCGTGTCCCGTGCTATCGGCCAGCCATCGGGGCAAACTTTTCCTCCTCGAGTCACACTCTCGACTTGTCCAGTTCTCTCTCACACACCCTGTAATAAGTACGTCCGCATTTGACTCGTTGTGCACCACGTCGGTACCCACCTGATGCAGAGAGTAACCATATGCAAGTTGCGACAATTATTTATGGTTTCTATATATACGGAAACACTCGCTTTCGATCAGTCACCAAAGAGACCATAAATTTATAAACCATAGTGAATTTTCTTTTTTTTTTAAATAAAATTGTAGTGCAACCTCGCTCTATCTCTGTTTGTAAATTTTTTTGTAAAAAACATTGATTAAAAGTTTTTTTTTTATCGAGCTTAGTATAGGTATAAGGTACGAGCCCAATGTGGCGTCGAGGGCAAATAAAACGACGAGTCTATACCGATCGAGCATTATTTTGCCCAATATTGTCTTGTTGAAAATTTTCAATTCTCCCAGCCATGAATACATACATGTATGAACCATTTTAAGGGAGGAAAAAGAAAAAAGAAAAAGTAGAGTCGTTCGAGTGAACGAGCGGAGGCCACAAATTAAAACGAATAGGTGCAACAGCGGAGTATCCCCGTGTATATATACCTATCGACTTCCCGAGGGAGGGGGTTGGAGAAGACGAAAATATCAATACTAGTTAGCCGTTGCGGGCCATTACTCACGCCGCGCTTGGGCTCTGCAGCCTCTCGTGCGCGAACACGGGAGGGAAAAAAAAAAGAAAGGGGGAAGAGGAAAGAATAAGGGCACAGGAAGCGAGAGGGAGAGAGAGAGTCGATCGGCGATGATACCGCGCCCACGTACAGGTATATAGTTCGTATCTCAGGCCCGCCGGTGAGATCGGTATGCGCGTGGAAACGTCATCTCCTTCGTCGCGGTGCAGGATGCGGCACACAGAGCGGCGAGCTGCTGGCAATGCTTGTATAATATATACACGCATCCTCGTGGTCGTCGAAGCTCTGCACGTATACCCTCGGTATATGTATAACCCCCTTGTATTCCATTAGCCGGGCACTCGTAAAGTTTCGACTATTATCCTTCTCCTCCCACCTCGTCCCCGATGTGCAAATACGCCCACAGGTAAAGTATTGCTGCTGTTGATGGCGTGGCGGTCATAGAAATAGATTTCGCTTTGCCGATGGCACGCGCGTAACGCCATAAGGTATACACTCGGACGAGACCGAAGCAGCTCGTGGACAGCCTCATCGTATCTACACCTATACATATACACATATAGGGAAAAAAAGTAAAGAGAAGCTCTGCACTTTCCTTCATGCTCACATGTTACGCACCTATGTACCAATATGACGTACCTCTCCGCATGTACAAGGGAGGAGAGAAAATTAATACTCGGCCAGTGCAAGCAGGGGCTGGGGGGAGGAGGAGGTAACCATAAAGCTTCCCAGGTGCTGTTGCGCGAGTAGCTGTAATACGTAGGTTGTGTGTGTATACACGTTTCGCGGGAGAGAGAGAAAACGAACTAGAGGTATATATATTATGTTGTTATATATGTATGTACACATGTGTGTGCGCATGTAAGGAGGAGGAGGAGGAGGAGGAGGAGACGCGGTAATTACGCGTGTAGCGTGAGCCACCCCCGTCCGTCCGTTATTATAGGTACATCTTGATGCACGGCGCTGGGCTCGCTCGGTCGGTTATTGCTTTACGAGCTTCCGCTTGTAATAACAAAGCCCGCGACCGACGACAACTTAAAAACACGTCGATGATAAAGCCCCGCTCGTCCCTCCCCCTCTACCCACACCCACGCGTCTCCTCCTCTCGTATTGTAAGTACATGTATATATCCACCGAAACTCGCCTCCAGAGGAATCATCTCAGCGCTGACGTTGTTAAATAGCCCTCTCTTGCAATAGGCGCGCGCGCGCCTGCATTTATAATTCAGCGATTTTTCACCTCCCTTCCCACACCCGATCACCCTTTCTCTCTCTCCATCTCGTTCCTTTATTTTTATCATACATGTGGGTATGTGCGTTCGCGTCCGTCCGCGACCTTAAATTCGGGATACCTACTTGGGCGTATATACATGCACGTCCGTTTTAATTAATCGCTCGATAAGTCGTTGTCGTTACTCCGAAAGCAAAGAAATAAAAAAAAAGAAAAAAAAGAAAAAAAGAAAGGAAGAAGTGTTTCTTCAAAGGAACACGGCATTATCGAGAAGGTATGCGCGCTCGCGTAAATTTCCGGTGGGCCTGTCCGTGCGAGTGCAAAACTCCGTCTCCCCCGTAGTTCTTTCGTGCGCGGCGTCGATCGCGTGCCACTCTACGGAGTAGGTATATACATATATATATTATATATGCGCGTGCGGGCCTCTCCCGCGGCTGGGTATAGAGGATGTATAGGTACACCACGTTCCTGGACCTCTCGTGCGAGACGACGGTGTTTCCCCTTCTTCCTATATACCGGCTGCATCCATCTATACCCATGTTTACATGCTCCTAGCTCTCTTCTTCCTCTTCTTCCCATCTGCAGTGGCACGGAGCTCCATCCCTAGCTGCTATACCTCTCCCTCCCCCTCCCCCCCCTGTTTGCTAAATAGACGACGCGTGTCCTTGAACTTTATTTGGCGTCCCATTCTCCTCTCTTATATTTATTAGGTTGTACGTTATATAGTATATATATGTACATGTGTACACATTACCCGAGCTTTCTCACAGAGCTGTGTAATGCGGGAGAGCCGCACAAAGGAAAACTTGCCGATCTCTCCTCCTCCTCCTCCACCGTCGTCCTTCGATGCCCCCCCCCCCCCGTCTAGCGCACTTGCCGAGTTTTCTGCAAAAACGAGCCCTACGATTTTAATTGGCCTTTATTACCCGCTCTCTTGCACCGCGCTTCTTTGTATGCGACTCTATATGTATACATACGTATACTCTCTCTTTCCCTCCTTCCGTCAAAAATGATTAAAAAAAAGAGAGATGGAGAGACGCTTATTTCACCGGGCTTTTGGCACCTTTTCCTCGCTTCTTCTATGTAGGTACATATAATGAAACCCCGAGATAGACAAAATGGATGTATCCCTCGCGCCGCGCAACCTTTTTTTCGTTACCGATTTGTTGGGCATTCAGAGATAATCGAATCGAGCGTTAATTCTGCTACATTGAACGCAAATGGGCGCCCCGTGCCGAAGGGTACGTATAGGTATATATATACACCTACGTACGGACTGATCGTTAGGGTGTGTGACAAGAGACGTCGCACACAACACACACGCGCGACAAACAAGGGATGGCATAAGAATGGAGAGACTCTGGCGTTGCGGCAGACTCTCTGCAGTGGGTATGTACGATCTATTTTTGGTTGGGCCTCTCGTGCATATTATATACACAGCGCCCGAGAGATGACAATTTCGTTTGTTGCTGCGGAGTCGCGTGCGGTCACACGCAGATGTGTGTTACATGTACACACGTACGTGGTGTTTTCTCTCTCTCTCTTTCTG